TCCACCCATTGCTTCTTGACCTTCCCTCAGATGCTTTGGACAATAGCTTGACTCCCTCTTCTTTGTGGAAGCCCCTGAGATATTGGAACACTGCTATCATGTCTCCCCTAGTCCTTCTTTTCATTAAACTAGACATACCCAGTTCCTGCAACCATTCTTCATATGTTTTAGCCTCCAGTCCCCCAATCATCTTTGTTGCTCTTCTCTGCACTCTTTCTAGAGTCTCCACATCTTTTTTACATCGTGGTGACCAAAGCTGAATGCAGCATTCCAAGTGTGGCCTTACCAAGGCATTATAAAGTGGTATTAACAGCTGCCTGGGCATTCAGCCAAAAGCATTTCACAAAGTAAAAGTGTAGCAAAGCCTGGAGGGAGCCACTGAGAAAACTCAACACCATCTAGCCAATAGAAAACTCCTCCCTTGCCCCTAAAGGGTTCATTTCCAAAAAATAGAAATCACGTACTCACAGGAACTATCTGCCCTGCCCCTGATAGGATTATTTCCCAAAATAGAAAGTGGACAAAAGAAGCATTTCTTGACTTATGAGTAATATTTTATTTGGGGGGGGGGGTTACTTCCCACAGAAGAGAGAGAGAGAGAGAGAAACAAACAGGGAGGGAGGGAGGGGATGGAAGGACCAAAACCCTGGCTGGCACTAGACACAGCTTCAGAGGATGCTTTGAAACAGCACAGTAATCCAGGGCTGGAAGGGACCTCAGAGGTCATCTAGTCTAACCCCCTGCTCCCTGGCAAAATGGATTGCTAAATTGACCACACCCACCCAGTCACAAGACCAACAAGCCACACCCACCATCACATGACCAACAAACCAAGCCACCAAATAAGCCACGCCCACAGAACCGGTAATAAAAAAATTTGAAACCCACTCCTGCTTTGGGACCATGCAGCTAATCCAATCAGAAGCAGTTAAAGTCAAAACTGTTTCACCCCCTCCTCATGGCAAGCACAAAACATCATTTAAGCAGTCCTTATTTTAAAATAAAAAAAAATTCTGCAGTCGGTTAGCAGTATAAAATCCTTTAGAAAATTTAAGTTCAAAAGTTTCCAACATAGTTTCCACAGTGCTTTAGTTTCTAGTAGTTACCAGCTTCTTTACTTTGTCTTGAATAGACAAACTCCTTCTTCCTAGCGTTCCTAGCCAAAGTCACGAAAGCTGCAGAAATGACAATAATTCCACAAAAAGGAAATTGTAAGCTGCAACTAGATGAAACCTCTTTCAATATGAAAGGTAAATATGCAGAAAAACTAGTGTCTAAGAAACGGTGGCACCCTTTATTGTCCGTTTTAAATGGCTGGTTCTTCCACATTTAACTTGCATAAGGTGACCAGATTTTTAGATTGGTAAAGAGGGACACCATTGACNCATCTCTGAGGGAGGTCTAGAGGTCGGTTCCTTTCTCCGGGCCCCCAGCTGACACTCCCTTTCTTTAGCTTCTGAAGCCTCGGCTACCTCTTTAGAAGGCACATAAATGGTCCCGACAAATACAGGCGATCCGTCATCTTTGGCCTTCTCTGCTGCTTTCTTTTCTTCCTCCATCTTCACTGAAATTTTGTACTGCCCAGGGTTGGGTCAGAACAGGGATTCAGTACCCCTAACAGCTTCCCAAGCTTGGGATAGCTGATGAAGTATTTTAAGGGCGATTCAGTTTAATGTCAGCATTCCAAATATCATTCAAAATTGAATCAGAGTCCAAGGCAAAGTATTCCTCAAAGTTCCAATTTATTAAGGGACACATGTTGGCACATCTGTGAAAACCCGAATCTGAAAGCTTCCCGGGTTTTCCCACCCAATTGAAAGTTTATGATCTTGGCCCCACACCCACAAGTCCATCACATGATCCAATCGTCCACTGCCATGCTGGCAGTTCCACCTATCCAGTTCCGGTCAGGCTCAGAGGTGTAGAGAACAAAAGATGACCTTGGTTTCTAGAAAGGAATTTTATTTTGACAACAATACATTCTACTCCTTACTATTCCCCCTCCCAATTTCCCACTAATGAAACAGCATAGTACAATATTAGAAAGTGTGGCAGGCCAAAGATCCAGAAGGGAATATGACTGCAGCCCTGACACAGGTCTTATTTTCAGGGAAACATGGTAGTACTAAATTGTCCATCATTTCAAAAAAGGACTTTGGTAATTTACCCTGGGAGGGTTTAATCCCGTTAGTGGATATTCTATCCACAGCTACTATAGTCACTCCATTCCAATCCCCCCAACATAAACCAATTTTCGTATGAAAAGGGTAATAATTGATCCATTAGATATTTAAAATTTTTACTTTTATTATCATTTGACCTATAGACACGAACCACCATTGATTTTATTCCATTAACTTCAATTTCCACTGTTACCAATCTACCATATTCATCTGCTATAAGTAGCTTAGATTTGAGTTCAGGTTTTATATATAGGACAATGCCATTGGTCTTTTTTAAACCAGCAGATATAAATTCCTCCCCTAATCTTTTATTTATTAAATATTTCTCATCTTTTTTTCTTAATATGTGTTTCTTGAAGGCAGGTTATGTTGACATTAAGTTTCCTCAGGTAACTAAATAATTTTTTACGCTTAGATGGGACATTTGCCTCATTAATATTCCATGTAATAGACTTAATCTCCATCTTTAGACAAAGTAATAGGTTCCTGTAAAAATATCTTAGCCATGCCTTCTTCAATACCAACTTTTTGAGATTGTTCCACCTCTAGCTTCTTTTCTACAGTATATCCATTTCTTCAGCTACATCTGAAATTAGCTTGTGTCTAATCAAGAAATCCTTGGCTTTTTCTATAGAGTTCAGTCTAAATCTTTGCTCTTGATAAGTAAATATCACTCCTTCCAGTTTATCGCAGCGGAAGACAATTTTTCTCTTCTTCAAGATGTCAGTTAGGGAAGCATAAGCTGTCCTTTTTCTCAAAATTCTAACCAGCATTTCCTTCAGAACAATTATATCCATGTTTTCCATTCTCAGTTTATGTTTAAAGTGGCAATCCAAAACATAATCTCTTGCTAGTCTTCTTAGAAAGTGAACTATGATGTCCCTTGGTAGTTTTCTCGTAGTGGCAAATATGGAGTTTATTCTATATACCTTGTCTAAATCCATATCAAGATGTTTTTCATCTTCATAATAGAATAACAGAGTTGGAATGGATCTTGGAGGTCTTCTAGTCCAACCCCCTGCCTAGACAGGAAACCCTATACAATTTCAGATGAATGGTTATCCAACATCTTCTTAAAAACTTNCAACTGTTCCTGATGCCTATTAGCTCTTCGGTGCTGGGCATCCAGGGTTAACTCACTGCTGGCGTCCAGATCACTCTCCCTTGTCTCCTCCCCATTGGTCCAAGGCTCAGGTGCCTCCTGGTGGCCATCCAGCCTCTTTGCGCCCTGCTCGGAGTCGGAACCTTGTCCAGGGTCCTCCACATCCTCCAGAGCTGACTCACAGGGCCCCTCGCTGTCAGAGTCTGGTGGAAGTTCCAACGGCTCCTGCTGGGCCACAACACTTTCCTATACTCTTAGTCATGATGTCATTCTGGGTTCCATGTTGGTTCTAGTGCCCTTTTAAGTGCTTAGGAATTACTGTCCTTAACACATCTACGCAAACAAGGAGGTTGGAAAATCATGTTTCCCATTCACCTGTAGTTTGTCACTCCATTTTATAATGTCCACTTCATTAAAAAGTGACTGGCTCCATGGCAAAACAATTAAATGTTGTGATGATGAAATGTGGGTGATGAAAAGTGTGAGAGAAGGAAAGATACCGCTTGCATCAGAACACATATTTCATGATTCTGATAAAACCTCCAGACTATAGATATCTGTTGGTTCCTACATAGGAAATGTCATAGAGGGAGAGAGAGAAAAAATCACATAAGAAAGTAAATGGACTGAAAACATTGGTGACTTTTTTTTCCCAATGGCTTCTTCTATTCACTGCTGTTTTATTTGTTTTATCTGTGCCATTTTCATATTGGGTTGTTCTGAGATTTTCAGACTTTGTGCCATTGTTGATCTTCAATGATCAAACGCCTACTGTGATGTACTTAGAAAAAATGTAAAATAAATAAGCCTTCTCTAAAAGATGTTGCAGTTTCATTGGTTCGGCCATTCTGTGGTCTGTTTTGGGTGTAAAGCTCCAATCTTCTGAAGCAAGTGATAAGTCAGCCTGCTCCTTCCTATTCCTCAGCACTGGCTTTCCTATTAAAATCCAGGCTTATTTAAAGCCAGTGTTCTCTTTATGTTCCAAACAAGAATCTCTTGTTGAAACCCAGTTTATAAACTACCTTTCTACCCTGGGGGCTCTCAAGATGGTTAACAGTCTGAAATAGAACATTAACAAATTTTAGACATGAATGAAAACAAATTATTATTATTATTCTAACTCTGGAAATCTGGCTGAATCACAAATGGAAAAGTTCTCAGGGTGTATCTTCCATAGCTTTCAATTGTTGATTCTTCAAGCACTATTTTTTCTGGGAACAATTAAAAAATAGAATATTAAATATGGGAACAAAAAAAGGAGGAGACCACAAAATTGTATAAATTGTGACTTTTAATCCAAAAGTGTCATAAAAGCCAATTTGGTTTCTCTCTATACTGAGCCAGTTACTCCAGAGAATGATTTATAGTAAGCACACATTGGAAAAGTATTTTGTACATTTTGAGAGCTGTTCAGATGGGTAATGAATAAAAATACAGACTAAAAATCGGTCAATTAAATTTGGAATATCCTCATGATGAATATATTTTTGGCTAAGAAGTAGCCAGATAAGATCAGTTATATTTATTTGTGGCCGCCTATGTTGCATTGTGTTGCTTTAACTGCCAAAAACTTGATCTGGGGATTGCTAATTCTGCATTTGAATAGTCTTGCTATAATAAAAACTTCTATAATTTTATTTTGCAATTTAACATTTTGCTTTATTTTAAATACTTCTAGGTGGTTAGCCAGCCACCTGTTGGCTAAAAGAATGGGATGTAAATATTCTGTTTTGTAAAAAAAATAAACAAGCAAGATATATAGTTCACCATGAGGTCTGATCTAGACAAGACTGTGTATCTCCTTACAGTCCTAGGTGACTGATTCTGTTTTTTCAGCTGGCCAAAGTTCATGAGAATCTGTTCACTTTGGAGACCCACGGCATTGCTCCAAGATCTGAACCATCAGTCTTACGCTGTGGGATAGCAGTAGGGGAGGAAAGAAAGACAAGACGAATGAAACTTTAAATATCTTTCCAGTTTATTTCCCAAGAAGTGAAATTTTATCTGAACCAGTGGGAGTATGTGTGGTATTGACTTTGTTAGCCCATGAGGCTGATTCATTTTGTTGTCCCAGATATGCCTCGCTGTTGCTATGCAGAGTATGGGTGTTACTTTTGTTTGACACGTCCTGATTGCCTGGCTTGGCCTGGTATCTCAAACAGGAATAGAAAAAGAAAGAAAAAGTGAGCCACAGCCTGATCCTATGCTTGAACCTGAGTGGGTTTCACGGGGCTTACTCCTGAATACATGTAAGATTGTAGCTTTGAGGTAGAAAATATTTCACAAAACTGCCGCTACTGAAGCACTGTTGACAGCCACACTAGATAGATCACACCAGAAAATAGTTCAATAGGAAACAGCTCCATAAGAAGACCACAACTACATTTTGAGATTGGCTTTAGTAACAGACTTTTTCCAAGTCTAATTGTGCTTCATCTTCCTCTTTTTTATACTTCTACCTTTCTTCCAGGATTCCAATAATGTTTCACACACACTCCTTTGTCTAGCTAACAATTCTTGTGTAGTTTTGTCAGTGTTACTTCCCTTTCTCTTTAAACTGTTCAATTCTTCTTATTTAGTTAGTTATGTATTTATTAGTAGTAAAGCACCATATTCCAGAATGCCAAGACATGTATAGATAAGTTCATAAGACAGTATAACTAACAATACAATAAAATAAATCACAAAGCAGTAAAATAACAATGCCACCACTGCCACAGAGCTTGTTTTAGTTTTTTTTATCTCCAGAGGTCTCTTGGAAATAACCAGGATTCAATAATTATCTGGAATGTGTGAGTTATTGTGGCATCTGAGATAAGCTTTTTTTGCCTTCGGCCGACTAAGAATAACACTTTGTATTTGTGAACTTTATCTTTAAGAGCCTTAAAACTTTGAACTTAGTGCAATTGACTTACCTTGATAAACCAATTGTCACTTTACCTTCAGACATCACTTATTTATATTTTCTTTATTACATTGGTCAATTTTTGTACAACATCTACTACTGGTGGATATTATTTTCCTTCATATAAAAGAAATTGTGATAATAAAAATCATTCCAGAAGGGTATTAAAATGTAGCTTTGCCAGTTGCCTGGGGGTCCTGAGAAGGGTGCTCACCAATGGAGATAGTTGACGGGTTAAGAAGACCTCATCCCCAACCCCAATTCTGGTTTCAGTATAGTTTTTAAAATCATAATCTGGATAGTTTTAATGTTTTAGAATTTTAATTATTTTTTTCTATTTGTTTTATAACATGTAAGCTATCCAGAGTCACTTTACAAGGGAGATGGGCGGCATAAAAATTCAACAAATAAATAAACAAACATGGAAGGTTGTATGTAATGTAACTACTACTACTACCAATTTTCTGTTATATTCTTTTTACTAACTAAGGAAATTGTAGTAACCTTACATTTTAGTGGCTGGTGTCCATCTATCAAAATAATAGGATGTCTCTATTTCTGAAGAAAGGATATTAGGTTTAGATTAAGTACTTCATCTCTGTACCAGAAAAAATAAATACAAAACCATAACTATACTAATGATGAAGTTTGTTGTAATTTCTAGGTATGCTATTCTGTGTGGTCAGTGTTCAGAACATGAAAGTATACAAAAGCGCATTCAAGCTGGTCATGTCTTTAAGGTAGGTAGGACCACCTTTTTTATATTCAAAAGATTTTTTTTTTACTCCATAATTCAAGGGGCTTTTTTCTGCAGGGAAGAAAGTGAGGGTACATCTTGACCGAAGCTTGTGGGGTGGGGGGGAGTTGTAGGAAAGACTCCAATAGTGGGATAAGAATGAGTTGCAAATATTACTGATTGATTATAATCATGCTTCACTTGAAAAATTAATGTATGTGATGATTTTGTCAATATTTTACATCAAAAAAACTCTTGACATCCATTCCACCTGTTCTTGTCTTGCCCCAAATGCACATATGTGAAAGTTGTATATGTGTGAATCAGATAGCTATGACGAGGCAATAGAATGGGCTATCTGGAGCACTCTTCGTTTGGAAAGAAATTATTGAAGAAAGAGCCAGTCTACTTGACAACTCTTCATTCTGACAGCCTTAAGCCCTACTATTCATGGAGCCTTCTTCAGTCCACTATTTCTTCCCTGGAAGTCTTAATATACCTTCTTTTCTCTAAGGGATTATAAAATACAATTTGAGAAAAATGTTTGAATTTCATCTTCAGTGTAGACGAGGGCATTAGCAAGTGCTGTAGTACTATATTTTCTAGAACTATTGCTTTAATTTAATAGCTACTTCTGCTTGAAATTCTTGAATGCTTGTACTGAATTCCAACTTTTGAATGTTATTTCCCAATTTAATGCAAATGAAACAACTCTTTTGCCTGTGTGGTTTTGTTTTGCGTTTTCTTTAGAAACATATTGATAAAGCCATTGCTCTGAAACCAGATGATCCCATTTCTTATTATCTCTTAGGTCGGTGGTGTTACCAGGTAGGTTTTCATCTTTATGGTTTTTTGTTTTTTTAATCCGGAGCATCATACTAAATAATTTTGCCTGTATGCAGAAAATAAAAGATTGAATGCCTTAGGGAAGTTTTGTATTTAAATGTCTGGAATTGGTAGTCAATGGTTAGCTACTGATAGAATTGTCACAGAAGTGCTCAGTTTCATTGAGGGTTCAATCATTTGAATTTGCCATGTTATAGATATGGATAGTTCTGCTGCAATAGTGCATCAATGTCACAAACTATGCAATCTAGTTTTGGCATATCAAGGAAAAACCATCATGAAGGGTCTTTTAAAAAAAATCTTCTTTGTCTTGTAATTAGCAGTTAGCAATAGCAGTTACACTTATATACTGCTTCATAGGGCTTTCAGCCCTCTCTAAGCNAAAAAAAATCTAATGTTCATTTTAGTTTGGATCAAACTGCTGTGCCCTTGAATTGCGAACTCAAATCGAATAATTCTTTCTTCAAATCTTGAAGATGATTCAAATTAGAGGTGATTTGCATAGCAGTCACAGCAAGATTCTCAGTAATAGAGATTACAAATAACTAATAGACATGTAAAACAAAGTGCTACAATACTACAGGTTATTACATTTTCCGTCTGACAGGTGACCTAGTTTTAAAAAGTCCTTTATGATCACTTAAAAACTCAGGGATCTGAACAGATTAAGAGAATAAAGAAATGAACTCAAACACACACACACACAAACATAAATACTTGGGGATATTTAGCTATATCTTTTCTCATAAAAAGCCCCAGAAGCATGTGTGCTTTAAAGAAAAACATATGCATATTGTCAATAGTAGCACCTGTTCAATTACAGTTTATTTCAGTATGGAGAATCCAGTTTAGCCCCCTAGATGGCAATACTATCAAACAGTTTTTATACCATGAGTATTTAATGATTAACAACCAGCGTTCAGTCATCCAACATACTCAAGGCAGCCATTAAAAAAATAACAAAAATGATTTCATTATAGATTCTTTTAATAAACATTTATGGCTTAGATCCTTGAAAGTGGAAGCATTCAAACTGCCATAGCCAAAGGGAACTTGTAGAACCCAATGCAAAATTATGGACTGTGGGTTAAAATACGGAGTTCAAATTGAAGTTCATGCTTGGCATAACAATCTGGCATCAGAAATTATGCTGGCACAAAACACTGTTAAAATTAGCTTTACAATCGGATGCAGACCATATTAACAGTGTTTTATGAAAAGAGTTATCTATTAGGCTTCAGCAACTGAACTTTTAAAAGCCTACAAGCTACAATTTGCATCTTAAGATTTAGTGGGGGAAATGGAATGAGCACATGAAGTTAAATGATTGTTTCTGATCAAAAATTAAGAACTTTGGTTACAGAACAACAGAAAAGTATACAGCATATGCCATATATAAAGCTCATGGTTCATTGTAGATATTTATGCATATGAATATGTGCTCATGAAATAAACATGTAATATAAAGAAGTTAATTTTAGAGAATGAACAATTGCCATTCTTTCTATAATAATCTAAAGAATATCTACATAACTTCAAGATAGCTTAGAAAAACTTTGTTGACTACTGGAGAGGTTAAAAAAAGTCTCAAAATACACAGGGCGAGCTTAAACACAATGCAAAATGCCATCAATCAGTTAATTGTGTTTCATTATATTTCTATAAGATGCAGATCATAATTTTGGAGACAAAGTTGGGATATACAGTAAATAATTAAATTACACAGTAAATTTATGATCACAATTAATACATCGTTATATTTATTTAAAGAATACAGGTTGTAGGATGGAGAGGGGGGTTAGAAAAAGGACCACAGTACACATATATCTTTTAGTCCTCATTTCAAAGTACTGGTGAGAACTGCTCTCTTGAAACTGCAATTTCTCCTGACAGAATTGCCAATAGCATCTGTGAGGAAAAGCACAGAGAAAAAGAACTGAACTCCTCTGTGAAGCAACTTGAATCTAAGACTCCTTGGGGAGCTGTCTTTACCCATCCTTTGAATTACTGAACTGGGAAAACTGAAGACCAGCAGAGACAGAGAGGCAGGCAGGAACTCCCTGTCTCTGAACTGAAAAAGATGAGGGGTGACCAAAGCAGAAGGCTGCCATATGAAAGATCTCAGATTGTCTTCAAAAAAGTTGTCTGTGAAGAGAGCCACTTTTCATAGGTCCTGATCAAAGTAGAGAGTTGTGATGTGATGGCACTCTGAGAACATTCTAGTTGAAATCCCATATGGACTTGACCTGTGTTATCTACAAAGAGCAGCTCTGCGTACCATATTCCATGAATCTCTCAGCTCTTGGTGCTGTTTTGAAAACATGTATATTAAGTACAATTATGTCTTTAGTTCAGCCTGAATATTGTTATACACTTTTTTCAGTTTTACATTTAATCCTGACCTACCAACAGCTAGACTCTTCTTTCCTGATTTCTCAATTGCATGATGTTTTTATTTTCCTTGCAAAACTTATCTCACTGGCTTGTCACACAGTATATCTTTGGATTCCTAATTTTTATGTCCAATAACCATAATTATAATTTGCAGATAACTAGTTAATTAGGATGATACCAACTATAAAACCATTATTTATTATGATTGGACTTATCAGTTGTGATGGGCATAGTTTATTACTTCCTGTCTATATACAACATATGGATTTTCAATTCCTGATAGAAATAGGCAACTTGCAAATTCTCATTAAGTTCTGGACCATAAGCCCTCTAGAGCAGTGGTCCCCAACCTTTTTATCGCCGCGGACCAGTCAGCCTTTGATAATTTTACCGTGGCCCGCTGAGCGTGCGCAGGGGTGGGGGTGTGTGCGTACCTGCGCGGGGCTCTCTTCCCTGGAGCCTTTGCGCATGGCCCAGGAGCTTTTGCG